ACTACACCTGGCTGATTTTTTGTATTTTTTTTTTTTTTTTGGCAGAGATTGGATTTCACTATATTGCCCCAGCCAGTCTCAAACACTTAGGCTCAAGTAATTTGCCCACCTTGGACTTGCAAAATTCTGGGATTACAGCTGCAAAATTCTGGGATTACAGCTGGGATTACTGTGCCAGGGCTGTGCTTCTTGATTTAATAAAATTTGGCATTTGTGATCGATCATGCAGTGATCCTGTAAGACATCTCTACTGCTTCCTTCCATGTTAATGTGGTTTAGCTGTGTCCACACCTAAATCTCAACTTGAATTGTATCTCCCAGAATTCCCTAGTGTTGTGGGAGGGGCCCAGGGGGAGGTAATTGAATCATGGGGGCTGCTCTTTCCTGTGCTGTTCTCGTGATAACGAATAAGTCCCACAAGATCTGATGGGTTTATCACGGGTTTCCACGTTTGCTTTTTCCTCATTTTCTCTTGCCACCGCCACATAAGAAGTGCCTTTCACCCCCACTGCCCCCTGGCTTGATTCTGAGGCCTCCCCAGCCATGTGGAACCGTAAGTCCAATTAAACATCTTTTTCTTCCCAGTCTCGGGTATGTCTTTACCAACAGTGTGAAAATGGACTAATACAGTAAATTGGTACCAGTAGGAGGGGGCATTGCTGAAAAGATACCCCAAAAAGTGGAAGCAACTTTGGAACTGGGTAACAGGCAGAGGCTGAAACAGTCTGGAGGGCTCAGAAGACAGGAAAATGTGGGAAAGTTTGGAACCACCTAGACTTGGTGAGTGACTTTGACAAAAATGCTGACAGTCATATAAACAATAAGGTCCAGGCTGAGGTGATCTCAGATAGAGATGAGGAACTTGTTGGGAACAGGTACAAAGGGGATTCTTGTTATGTTATACCAAAGAGACTGGCTGTATTTTGCCCCTGTCCTAGAGATCTGTGGAACTTTGAACTTGAGAGAGACAATTTCAGGTATTTGGTGGAGGAAATTTCTAAGCACTAAAGCATTCAAGAGGTGACTTCGGTGTTGTTAAAAGCATTCTGTTTTAAAAGGGAAACAGAGCATAAAAGTTCAGAAAACTTGCAGCCTGACAATGCAGCAGAAAAGGAAAATCCATTTTCTGAGGAGAAATTCAAACTGGCTGCAGAAATTTGCATAAGTAACAAGGAGCAAGGAGCCTGGCACCTGATGTTAATTCCCAAGAACAGGGGGACAGTGTCTCCAGGCCATTTCAGAGACCTTCAGGGCAGCCCCTCCCATCACAGGCCTGGAAGCACAGAAGGAAAAAGTGGTTTCACGGGCTGGGCCTAAGGTCCCTGCGCTTTGCGCAGCCTAGGGACTTGGTGCCCCATGTCGCAGCCATTCCAGCCACGGCTGAAAGGGGCCAAAGTAGAGCTCAGGATGTGGCTTCAGAGGGTGGAAGCCCCAAGTCTTGGCAACTTCCACGTGGTGTTGAGCCTGTTGACACATAGAAGTCAAGAACTGAGGTTTGGGAACCTCCGCCTAGATTTCAGAAGATGTATGGAAATGCCTGGATGCCCAGGCAGATGTTTGCTGCAGGGGCAGGGTCCTCATGGAGAACCTCTGCTAGGGCAGTGCAGAAGGGAAATGTGGGGTGGGAGCCCGCACACAGAGTCCCTACTAGGGCACTGCCTTTGGAGCTGTGAGAAGAGGGCCACTGTCCTTTAGACCCTGGAATGGTAGAGCCACTGACAGCTTGCACCATGCACCTGGAAGAGCCACAGACACTCAGTACCAGCCTGTGAAAGCAGCCAGGAGGGAGGGTGTATCCTGCAAAGCCACAGGGGCGGAGCTGCCCAAGACCATGGGAATTCACCTCTTGCATCAGCATGACCTGGAGTCAAAGGAGCTCATTTTGGAGCTTTAAAATTTGGCTGCCCCTCTGGATTTTGGACTTGCATAGGCCCTGCAACCCCTTTGTTTTGGCCAATTTTTCCCATTTGGAATGGCTGTATTTACCTAATACCTGTATCCTCATTGTATCTAGGAAGTAACTAGCTCGCTTTTGGTTTTACAGGCTCATAGGTGGAAGGGATCTGCCTTGTCTCAGATGAGACTTTGGACTGTGGACTTTTGGGTTAATGCTGAAGTGAGTTAAGACTTTGGGAGACTGTTGGGAAGGCACGATTGGTTTTGAGATGTGAGAACATGAGATTTGGAGGGGCCAGGGGCAGAATTAGATGGTTTGGCTGTGTCCCCACCTAAATCTCAACTTGAATTGTATCTCTCAGAATTCCCACTTGTTGTGGGGTGGGGGGGACCCAGGGGGAGGTAACTGAATCATTGGGGCTGGTCTTTCTCGTGCTACTCTCATGATAGCAAATAAGTCTCATGAAATCTGATGAGTTTATCAGGGGTTTCCACTTTTGCTTCTTCCTTGTTTCTCTCTTGCCACCACCATGTAAGAAGTGCCTTTCACCCCCTGCCATGATTCTGAGGCCTCCCCAGCCATGTGGACTGTAAGTCCAGTTAAACCTCTTTTTCTTCCCAATCTCAGCTATGTCTATCAGCAGCATAAAAATGGACTAGTACACATGTGCACATGAGAACTTACAAGAACATGTTCTGCCTTCTACCTTTATTGTAAGGAGCCCTGTGTCTGGCCTAAGCTACAAAGATAAGACTGGATATGAAAAGGTGTGGAAGGCAGGATCAGGACTACTCAGTTGTACATTACCCTAGAAAGAGTCTGCCAAAGCAATCTGTGAATGTAAGCTAAACAAGAGACTTGAAGAATGACTGAAACTGTAGCCACCTCAGGAAAGCAAACTAATAGCAACACTAGCTAACATCGATCATGTGGCTGCTGTGTGCCAGGTGCTTTGCTTTGCCCCCTTTCACCTTCATAATAACCATATGAGAAGACACATTATTATTATTATAGAGGAAAAAAGTAAGGCTGAGAGAGGGTAAATTGACAAGAATGATTAAGTGGTGGAATTGGAATCAAAATGCTGTTTTGTGTCCCCAGGATGTGAGCTGAAGGAGCAAAACAAAATAACAATGTAAGGGCATCCAGGGTGGAGGCAAAAGGGATCAGGAGAACGAGGGTGAGGTACAGAGATAAAGTAGGTGAGGTCAAATAGTTCAGAAAATGAAGCCTACAGGCACTCAGTATAAGAACTGTGTATCTTCAGAGCAGGGGCAGTTCCTGGGAGGCACTGTGCCAGGCAAGAGATAGTTAGAATCTATAGGAGTGCCAGGTCATAGAACCAGGATCACACAAAGTCTTGAGTGCACAGGGGCCAGTGTGGCATTACCCTATTGCTTAGCTGTTCCTCCTAGGGTGTCTCAAAAAGAGAAGACACACTGGAAGTTACACTTAGAGATACCTGGCCTTTGGATTTTTGTCTATGCCTCAGAGTCCAAAGAAATAAAGATGTGTCTCTTCTCTGGCCCAGCAACTGCTGAAATGGTTTTATAGATCTATATAGCTGACACATTAAAAATGACCTTGTGTAACCTATACCTTAACTGGCTAAGTTAGCAGAGGGAACGTTCAGTTCAGCTCACTAAACGTTCAGCAGTATTTACTTATTTTACAAGCTGTTGCAACTTTGCCCTCCAACAAATTAGGTTAGTACTAACCTAACAGCTTATTAAATAATAATAGTTAGCTAGTAACTTATATAGTAATCAAACTCCTTTTAAAACTGTCTAGTTTTTGGCGAATTAAATTATGTTTTAAATATCTGCTGAATCCACCTTGTTCTAGGAATATCAAAGAACCCCATGCTTACATTTTTAAAAGGTTTTGTATGGTAAGTCATCTTAGGGTAGGGAAATCTGAATTGGCCTTTCTATTTTCAGTCCCACACTGGGGCTTGAGTCACTGTGTTCCAGGCTCAGTGAATTAGTGATGATAGAAAAGGGCACAGAAAGGTCGTCAGGAACCAGGGTTATCTGGTAAATTTGCTCTGCTCTCCCCTGGCACCTCTCAGTGGTTGCTTCTGCTTGAGCATGTTCTTCTCTTCCATCTGTGCTGTTGTTTACCCCAGCACACTGTTGGAAGGGGTGCTCAGAAGGCATTTGATGGAAGGGTACTTGGAAAGACCAGACCCAAATCACAGTAGTGACCAGATACTTAGTGGCAGCCCCAGCGGCAGATGTGGCAAGAAGTGGCCAAGGAGGGAAATCTCCATGACCACAGGGGATGCAGTGAGCACTAGGGACCTGGCATTTGCTGTCAGAACAATCCAGCCAGGGTAACAGGTGGTGTTGCAGGAGGTGGGTGGAGTACACAGCAGGGATTTGGGGAACAGGAGATCCATGGAGATCTAGACATGCTGACAGCCCTCAGCATTGGGTTATCTGGCAGCTCAGAGCAGTTGCTTTGCCTGGAGTGGTTGGGTACTCAGCCTGGCTGAGGCTTATCTGGGAGAACTTTCTCTGTCATTGTCCATCCTGATCTGTGAGAAGGGGGAAGATAAAACCACAAGTGGGTCTGGAAAAATCAAAGAGCAGCAAGTGGGTATGGTCATAATAATTTAATTTTAAAAAGTTAGAATTCTGGCCAGGCACCGTGGCTCATGCCTGTAATCCCAACACTTTGAGAGACCGAGGTGGGAAGATCACCTGAGGTCAGGAGTTGGAGACCAGCCTGGCCAACGTGGTGAAACTCCATCTCTACTGACAATACAAAAATTAGCTGGGTGTGGTGGCAGGCGCCTGTAGTCCCAGCTACTCGGGAGGCTGAGGCTGGAGAATCGCTTGAACTGGGGAGATGGAGGTTGCAGTGAGCCAAGATTGTGTCACTAAACTCCAACCTGGGTGACAAGAATGAAACTCCATCTCAAAAAAAAAAAAAATGAGAGTTCTTTTTTCCTTTTTGGCCTTCCTAGACTGTGCAGGTATCAGCAGGAGACCAGGCATCCACTTTGGCTGTGGCAGCGAGGCTCTCTGGTCAGTCTAGAAATCGGCAGATGTGGAGATTGGCTTGAAAGTACTCATCAGAGTTCCTATTTTCTTTTCAGGAGGCAGCTTTATGGAGGCCAATATGCAGACAAGGGAGGTAACTCAGGCATTTTTGGGGAGAGGTAGAGAACGAGGAGAAAAGACTGAACTGACTGCTCTTCTGGACAAGAACTATGACTATATGTGGTACTCCCAGAATGGTGAGGTCTGGGACACGTGAATAATATGGCTGTGCTGTGAATGATGTGACCTAGGCAGAATGATTATCCCAATTAAGCGACAGGCAGGGAACTAAGGTCTTGAGGGTCTCAGGTATAACATCCTGAGGGGTCCCATGAAAGCAAAGATAACAGAAGGTGTATCTCTTACGCCTCTTAGAGCTGTACAAATGCTGTAACCCAGAGATTTATAAGACCTAAGTCAAGCAGAGACACAGGTAGAAAAAGGGTCAAACCTGATAATCCAGAGAAGAAAGCCTGGTGATCAAAGCAAGGAGACAAACCTGAGGCCGCCATCAGGCGCTGAGTATGCGGTGAGGCTGTCCAGGGACACGCGCTATTCGGTAATGGATGGGGTATGCACAGAGAGGAAGGCTGGGCAAATATCTGAATCATGGCCATGGCCCAGGGCTGATATTTTCTGAAATGCCTAAGGCGTGATGTGTGAGCAGGCCACTATAGTTAGAGTGACACAGACAGAGTGACAGGATAGAACAAACAGCAGAATCAGTTTCGTGTCGAGTGTGTTCATCTGGTTAGACTTATTTCCTAGTCACAAAGATAAAGCTGAGAACATGTTTTTTTCCTCTAGCCAAGTTGTCCTTTACAGGCAAATTAAAGACACCAGCTATAGATAAATATGAAAGCAGCTTTACTGCAACGTCCCTTAGTTTTCACTTCCGGTGGGCAAGTAATGAGTCTGCAAACCCAAGAGAGTGTAAAGGTTTATAGCTCTTGCTACTCCCAGCAGGGTGCAGGACATGCTGATGGCAGAGAGGGGAGTTGCCATCCCAGCCTCCTGCAGGCCCTAGGATGGCCGGGGTCTACTCAGAGAAGGGCAACAGTGAGTCAGCAAGTTATAATGGGTTTAACAGTAACAGCCGGGGTGGAGGTCACATGCCGTTTCCTCAGGCTTCCAGAAAGAAAACCAGAGATCTCGTATGTAGGACTTACCAAGTATAACCTTGTCTCACTGAGTATAGCCAAATATTCACAGTCTGGGTCACCATGATGGAACTGTTAGCAGCGGAGAATCCATGCGGGTAGGCAGCAACCTCAATTCTTGTTTCCTCAGAAGAAAGAATTCCACTGAGGGGCATAAGGCAGAGGGAGAGACCCAGGCAAGTTTTAGAGCAGGAATGAAAGTTTATTAAAAAGCTTTAGAAAGGGCCAGGCGCGGTGGCTCACGCCTGTAATCCCAGCACTTTGGGAGGCTGAGGCGGGTGGATCACGAGGTCAAGAGATTGAGACCATCCTGGTCAACTTGGTGAAACCCCGTCTCTACTAAAAATACAAAAAATTAGCTGGGCATGGTGGCGCGTGCCTGTAGTCCCAGCTACCCAGGAGGCTGAGGCAGGAGAATTGCCTGAACCCAGGAGGTGTAGGTTGTAGTGAGCAGAGATCGTGCCATTGCACTCCAGTCTGGGTAACAAGAGCGAAACTCTGTCTCAAAAAAAAAAAAAAAAGCTTTAGACCAGGATGGAAAGGAAGGAAGGACACTTGGGAAAGGTCGAAGCAGGTGACTTGAAGGACAAGTGGGGTCTGACTTAGGGTTTTATACGTTGGCCTACTTCTGGGGTCTTTCAACCCTTCTCCCTTGATGCTTTCCTTGAGGATGGTTTGTCCGTATGTGTGGTGACCTGCTAGCACTTGGGAGGTGAGCATACACAGAGTGTTTACTGGAGTTGAACTTATGCTCACTTGAAACATTCTTCCCTTTACTGGTGGAATGCCGTTGGAAGATCACACACCAGTTAAACTCCGCCATTTTGACTCTTAGTGGGCATGTGTGAGCCCGCAGGCCCAACTCCTGGGATCTTATCAGGAAGCTGATGATCACCAGTTTCAGGCTTCTTCTATCTGTAGGGAGAATGCCTTTCCTGGAGCTGGCTGCAACCAATTATTATTGTAGAAAGACAGTTAGCAATGGCCTGACCATCACCAGATGGTCACATGACATTCCCGGTGGGGTGTGGGGGCCCTCTTCTGTCCTGTTTTAATTATATGACCATATAATTTGTCATTCAAATTAGACACTTTTGAGAGTGAAGTGTCTCTCTTCACTATTAGTTATGTTGGCAAAGCAGGTGTGAATGTGGATGCCTCTGGATAATCAATATCTACAGCCACACAACTCAATATCTACAGCAACCCAATCCTTTCCATTTTTTTCTAAAAAGCTAGCCATGCTCTTAAATTAAAACACAGCATTTGAATCTAAAGTCGGATTGCCAGATAAAATACAAGATGCTATGTTAAATTTGAATTTCAGATAAATGAATACTTTTAAGTATAAATATGTCCTAAATATTTCATAAGACATACTAAAAATTATCATGGTTTATTTGAAATTAAAATTTAACCGGGCAGTCTGTATTCTTATTTGCTGCTGGCAGCCCTAGTCTGACTAGACTAGTTTAACTAATCTAAAGTTAAACCACTGTGTTGTATTCAATTCTATCGTCCTGCTTACGATGTAAGGCTTTTAGGCTCCAAGTTGATTTAGGTCATAGTCTGGTTAGCAAAAGGAGAAAATGGAAGCATCTGTTCCAATTGGCCCAGTCACCTGAGCCACTAAAATCAGCTTTTTAAAATGTCTCTAAACTATGAGTAGGCTGGGACTAGGTCCCAGTGCCTGAGGTGAGCTACGCCAGCAGGTGAGAGGCCTCTGTGGCACAACTTGACGGTCACCTTTGCTTGATCTCCTAGGCCAGTGTTTCTCACACCTGGAGGCATATTAGAATCACCTGGGGAATGGCCGGGTGAGGTGGCTCACGCCTGTAATCCCAGCACTTTGGGAGGATGAGGCAGGAGGATCACAAGGTCAGGAGATCAAGACCAGCCTGGCCAACATGGTGAAACCCCATCTCTACTAAAAATGCAAAAATTAGCTGAGTGTGGTAGTGGACACCTGTAATCCCAGCTATTCGGGAGGCTAAGGCAGAAGAATCGCTTGAACCCGGGAGGCGGAAGTTGCAGTGAGCCAAGACTGCACCATTGTACTCTGGCCTGGGTGACAGAGTGAGACTCCATCTCAAAAAAAAAGTTTAAGTCTGAATTAAATTAAAATATATTTTCTTCTGATTGTAGTAAAAAGAAAAAAAAAAAAAAAGAATCACCTGGGGAGCTTGTAAACTCACTGATGTTTCAGCCCCACTCCAGACCAATTAAATCAGGATGTCCAGGGGCAGGCTCTGGCATCCATGGGTCTCAAATGTTCCCAGGTGATTTTAAGGTTCTAATGAGAACTGTTGTCCTATGCCCTCGCTCTGTTCTCAGTGGCCTCAGTTCTTCTTGTTTAAGTCTTCTCCTTTAAATGCCCTCTTTATAGTACTGGACATTTTATAGCCCTGAAAATATGACTGGAGCACCTGTTCTGTGTTTGGTGGCATGGATGGGATTTGCCCAGAAGGGTTTCTTGTCCTTCCATGACCTTGTCTTGTGCTGACTCCTCCTACTTCAGCCTCACTTCAGCTTTGGCTTTTCTTGCCCCCTCCTTCTCTGCTTATAACACATTCATTTCCATTTTGCAGCTGGTCTCCTTTCAGACCCATCCAGTGAGGTCCTTTTGGATTGGACCGAAGACCCCCTCTGGAGAGCTCTCTCTGTAGCCTATACTAATGACATTGGCCACTGGCCAGGGCTCCATCCCTTCCTGGCTTCCACCCCAAGGAGTCCAAGCCCCAGACAGTTAGCATAGAGATCATCCAGATTTTGCATTTCCATAGGAAGGATTGATGGAGACTTCAAGAATAATGTATCAAAGTGCCAATTTCTTTCTAAAGGGCTGGGGAGGATACTATTGACAGCAGCAGAAAGGGGTAGCAGTGGTTTGCTTTCCAAATGGTGAAAAGAAGGGCCTGGCGGTGGCACCCGGTCCACGCATCATTAAAAATGGATTCTCCTGCTTCATTTGGAATTCGACCAAATGAACTCAAAGAAACTCTGGACAAGGACCAGCACAGAGCCCCGAGCAAAATACAGCAAGAGAATCTGCTTTGCTCATTCACTGAGTGCCTACTGTGTGCCAAGTACTATGCTATGTGCAGAGTGTACACTGATGAATAAAACAGACACATTCCCTGGAGCCTGTGAATCTTTCCATCTAGCCACAGGTAATAAAAAGTAAGAAGAATACAAAGGAAGAGTGGGGCAGAAATACTCAAGCAAAATGAGGGTGAGATTGAAGTCCCTGAACACATAGTACCCTTTACTCTTGATCTTAGCCAAAACGCTGAGAAGAGATTACAGTGCTTTTTAAAGGTAGCATTTCACCCAGCCAATAATCAACCCCTCTGACCTTCTAGAGGCACAAGGCCACACACTCAAATTCTTTAATCAAACAATAGGCTAGTACAAATGGAGCTATTTCTTAAACCCAGCTGTTTACACAGCAGCTACAAATCTGTTCAGAAAGAATCCCCCACCATCCACAACTGCCATCGAGCAGATGCTCAACAGTGGCTGTCTCTCACCAGTCAGGACAAGAGAACAGGTTTGAACGTCTTCTGTCTTCCGTTTCTGGAACTTCACAAGCTGCGTCTTCAGTGCCCAGCGGATGCTGCAACCTCTTCCCAGCTCTCCTCTTAGAACAATAGTGATTTTTTTTTAGAGGCATAATAAGGAAGGTTTGCATTGAATTATTAAACAATGGGCATTGAAAGATATGTTTTCTTTGACCTCTGTACCTCTAGCTTTTACCAGTCAGTGTTTTCCTGTACAAAGGCTAAGATATGTATAATATTGAAATGGATGTCTTCTTATATAGTATTTTACAAGCTTTGGAAAACCTTTTAATAAATTTTAAAACGTCTCATGCCCTTCTTTCATTTTCTGAAATTCAAAATAAATTAAATATCAGGGGACACAAAAGCACAAGAAGAAAGCACTGCCTTGTTTTCAGTCCAGGCCCCCAGCCATAGCCCTGGAGATTCTTGTGGGTGAGCACAAGCACCCCTCCCACCTCCAGTTCCTGAGACTCATTGTTCCAAATGGTAATGTCAACATTTGCCACGTTCGCTCATGGATAACTTTCCATTATTTCAGTTGTAAACATTTTCTATCTGAAATAAAATGAGATGGGACCAATGAAACAATAGACCTTTAACAAATCAAACAAGAATTTTTGCAAGCAAAGGAGCATCGTGCCTTTGAAATGGCCACTTTTAAGGGCCAACACGTGCTTCTAGGGCTTATACCTTGGCTCCAAAGATTGGGAGGTACTCATGTAGTGTAGCACACGGAAAGGAGTATAAGCTTTGGAGGCAGGTGAACCTGGATGCAAATCACGCTCTGCCACAGTTCACCTGTTGCCACCTTGACCTAGTTGTTTATCTTCTTTCTGAGCCTCAGTTTCCTCGATGGTAAAAGGAGAAAAAAAGATATGAAAAAATGAATGCAAAATGTCTGCACATCTCAGAAAGCTCAGTAAGTAGTTTTCAAGATTGTAACTATCACTAATGATATGTCTTTTCCCCAGAGATATTTTAGGATGATTTTTTTTTTTTTTTTTTTTAGAATATCATGTATTTTATAGTCAAGAGAATAGAAGTGGATAACAAATGGCTGGCCGTTCTAGCTTTGGTGAGAAAAAAATTGTTGCTCTTGTCACTATCCTAAAATTTTATGTGGTTCATTAAGTGACTCTGAAGTTCACTCCAAAAAATGTTTCCAAAATGTTCTCAACGACCACATTCTCCTTAGAATTGTGCACAGATTGGCTGGGCGGCCACTTTGAAGGGATTAAAATTCTCTTTGTTTTATGGCCACACCACAAATACGGACCCTGTAAAACAGGCTCCATCATTGCAAATCTGCCTTGTCATTTCCTCTTTGTCCACATATCTGTCTTTTTAGAACAGCGATATGTAGTAAGCAGATATTTTTTTTTTTCCTTTTCGACTTTTCTCCCTTTGATTCCAGAACCTTTGTCATCAACACCGAAAAATTAGCCCCAGTCCCTATTACCAAAAGCTACCTCGATCATTCCACAGTTTCGCACGCTTTCAGGTTTCCATTTTCCTCCTCTCACCCCAGATGCCTGGCATACGCGATAGCAGCAAAAACAAAGTCTGTTGCATTTTTGGAATGTTATTAACGTTGAAGCAGCCCAGGGATTGCAACAGCTAAGATAGGGATTCCCCACCCCCAACTTTGTTTCTCACTAGAGAGCAAAGAGCAGCTCTTAAATCCAGAGAGCAGGGAGAACTCTGTCCCTAAGAGGCACCCAAATGCCTTGAATCCACTAATTGCCCTCTGGTGCCGCCCCAGCCTTCACACCTCACCTCAACTTTCCCCTGGTAAAACCACATTAAGTGTTAGACAACGATGCTACACAATAGAAATAGAAATCTGGTGTTTGTCTAGGGTAATTTAGGTGGCACTGCTGAACTCCACCCTTCTTCCCATTAATACCATCAGAGAGAGTTAGTGAGGAGCAAAATCATCTGTGATTGTCTCTGCATGGATGTTGGAATTGCTCCCCCCAGGGTCTTCTAGGGTTTTTAAGCGTAAAGATGTTCATCCAAATGAAAAAATCATGTCTATAAGCAATTTGAGATTCAGCATGGCTGGCAATGCACATTTTTTGAAGGACGAGAAAATGCAGCATGAAATGTGTGCATGTGTGCTGTGGTGGGGAGTCTCTGAACCTTTCACTGTCATCTTGAAGCCTTTAAGAGGGAAACTCTTGAGGATGTTGGATTATAAAAGGCATTCTCTCATTCCTGGGACTGAAGGCCATGTCTCTGAGCATCACAAATGTGAGATTGCAAATGAAGGTGCTTTGAGCTTAGTGGAAGAAAGCTTTATCTTCAACACTCACATTTCTACTTCTCTAATAAAATCACATTGTGCCTCTTTTTCCTTTAAAAGATTTCTTTGTCCTTCCCCTTTCCTAGGGCTGATGGGATTAATCCCCTAAAGTTGGTGCAGTTGGCAGTAACAGGGCTGAGTAGATTTAGCTGGTATGATCAGGAGGTTGGTTACAGGGGAACTGAGCAAGTAAGTAAACATATTGAGAATGAGGGGGGCCAGGCCCCTCACTGTTGGAGAGATCTATATTTGAGTTACGAATATACAATGAAAGAAGGCTAGAATAAAAGCTGTGGTGTTGGTAGAACTAAAAGTATTGGTGTGAACTACTGGTTTTTAACATAAATATATAACAAAGATTTATGTGTATTGTGTGTATATACAAATATATACATATATAGAGATACACATGTACATACATACATACGTAGACATATCTACCTAGCTACCTACCTAATTTCCTAGCTCTATCTGCACAGAGGGCCTGAAAATAAAGATACCCAAATAGCAATAAGCATACCTAGCATCCACATCATGGCTTCTAGATATTGTTTTTTATTAAAAGGAAATAGGACTCCATCAAGAAATGACTTATTTCAGGATGTGGTAGGCTTAAAACTGGCCCACTTGAAGAAATCTATATCTTAATACCTGGAACCTGTAAATGTTACCTTATTTGGAAAAAGGATTTTTGCAGATGTGATTAAGTTAAAGATTTTTTAATGAGGAGATTATCCTGGATTAGCCAGGTGGGTCCTAAATGCCATCACAAGCATCCTTTTAAGAGAGCAACGGGGGAAGATTATGGACAGAAGAGGGGACAGTTTGACAATAGAGGCAGGGATTCAGTTACAAGTCTAGGAGTGCCAGCAGTTCTCCCAGTCTGGAAGGGGCTAGTGTGTCCCCCAGAGGCTCTGGAGGGAGTGTGGTCCTTTCAGTACCTAATTTCAGCCCGGCGACACTGGTTTCAGAACTCCTGGCCTCCAAATTTGTAAGGGAATAGTTTCTGTCATTTCCAAATCTGTGGTAATCTGAGATGGCAGTCAAAGGAGGCTAATATACAGGCTGGGCAGAGAATGTCCAAGGTGAGCCTGGAGCATCTTCTTGAGCCAGAAAGGGGGGTGATGCTCAGGATGGAAGAGGACACAGGAACCAGCCTGAAGGGACTTCCACAGGCCAAAGTGAGGGCAATAAAGAAGCAAAGGGAATATCAAGAATAAAAGCCGGGCGCAGTGGCTCATGCCTATAATCCCAGCACTTTGGGAGGCCAAGGCAGGTGGATCGCCTGAGGTCAGGAGCTGGACCTCAATCTGAACAATATGGTAAAACCCTGTCTCTACCAAAAAAACCCCCACAAAATTAGCTGGGCATGGCAGTGTGTGCCTGTATTCCTAGCTATTCAGGAGGCTGAGGTTGGAGAAATGCTTGAGGGTAAGATGTTCAGGTTTCAGTGAGCTGTGATTGTGCCACTGCACTCCAGCCTGGGCAACTGAGCAAGATCCTATCTCAAAAAAAAGGAGAGAGAGAGGAAAGAAAGAAAGAGAAATGGAATTGGAATATCACCATTTGGCAACCATCAAAATGAAAATTAATTTAGACAAGAATCGTCAATGGATGCAAAAACTAGTGGATGACAGTTTGATGAGACACAGGATGTTTACATCATCTCAGTTATCTTCCAACAAAATGCTTAACTCTTATTACTCCTTTTTAATTTGACGTCACAAATAATGGGACAAATTGACATCGTGTACCCTTGATATGATAGACTGAGAACGAAACATTACTCTGTGTGGTGTTCTTGCCAAAAATGCATGACCTAAAGCTAATCATGAGGCAGCATCAGACAAACCGACCTGGGGAGTATTCCACAGATAACTGGCTGTACCCTTTGAAAATGTCAAAGGCGTGCAGGGCCAGGGAAGGCTGAGGAACTGTTCCAAAATAATTGCTTCCAACAACCAACCCTCAACTGCATTCTGGACCCATCAAGGATATTATCAGGACAGAAAGTAAAACTGGAGGGTTATTTGTGAATAAATGGTAACATCGTACCAATGTTTCTACTTAGTTATGTAGGAGAATGTCCTGCTTTTAGAAAATGTGCACTAAAGTATTAAGAGATAATGAGACATTATGTCTGCACCTGCCTCAAATTGTTCAGAACAATAATGTCTAAAAATACGCGGAAAGATGGAAAGACAAATGTGGTAAAATGCTAACAATTAAGGAATTTAGGTGATGGGCATATGGGAGTTTTTTTTGTAGCATTCTTGCAATTTTTTGTAAGTTTGAAATTATTTCTAAATGAAAAGTTAAAGAGAAAAAAAGATAATTTTTCTACCATGGTATTCTGTAACTTTCATTCAAAAAGTACTTATGGAATTCCCATTCAGAAAGTGAAGGGAAAGCCAGGGTGCCTGGTTCTGCCACTCTGTGGGTCCCCTTGGGCAGGTAACTTAACCTCTCTGAACCCCAGTCTCCTCGGCTTTATCATTCTCTGCTTTTCTACACCTAAGGCAATTGGTTTCACTAGTTGCTTTAGTTCCGATTTAGAAGGAATCAACAATGGCATAGTTAAAAATCATTGCTGTGGAATGGGGAGTGGCTGCTGGTGAATAATTGAATGCCATTTCTTTTTGCAGGCAAAAATGCTCTAAAATTAGATTGTGGTGATGGCTGAATAGCTCCATGAAAATAGTCAAAAACATTGAATCATGCACTTGAATGGGTGAATTATTTAGTATGTAAATGTTATCTCAAGAAAGCCGTAAAACTCAGTGCTGCTGCTGCTTTTCTCACCCCACAGCCAACCGCGATTCCTTAAGGTTAAAGAAGCCTATAACTTAATGGGGATGGTTTAGAGTAGAGAAGACATTCTCATTCCAGAGGCTGGGTGGGAAAGCAAAGAGCAAATGCTAAAGGAACATTTCCCAATGGCCAAAGGAAGGAGTGTGGGGGCCCCTTCAAGTGCCTGCCCCTACCCTCTGGCATCATCC